CGGAGATTCTTTGGAGCGTTGCATTTTCAATCATGATTTGTCACTCTCAGTATAGGATGGTATTTTGGTAGGCAGATTTGCCGCTGTAATCCTAAAATATGTCTTCTTTCTTATCAATCATCATTGTTTATCTTCCTTTAGATACTGGAAGATGAACAGAGTCGTAACGATTACAATTATCTCCTGGATAATCCAGGTACGCTTGGCTTGACTTTCATTATAAACTAATTAAAAATGGCATGACCAAACGATAAAACGAATTTAGTTTCAGCGCGCAGCGCATGCACTGTTAACCTATGTTTTAGGTATACTGTTTAATTATTCGTTGCACTAGTGGCTGGTTCTCATCTGCTGTACTGTCACAGCGTTCGAATCGAATTCTGATGGAGGCTTGTCAGCCATTTGAACTAGTTTGTCTGTGGCTATTGTTCTAGGTTATTTAGAGGTTTGATGTAATTCTACGGATTACCGCTGCGAATTTTCAGGAAACATAAAGACACGCAGTGGGTTTTGTTCTAAAACTCGATGAATGGACCAAAATTAACTAAGTGTAAGCCAAATTCAATAGCGGACCTGAAAATCAGAGATATGATTAATACGAAAATTTCGAATATTTAGAACGATGTTTTTTGTAGACAGTGAAGTCTGTAGTCATTTAAATGAAACATGATCAAAACCATACAAATTTGTGTTCTACAAGCCAATAAATTATTCGCTTGCGTGTTGAGATCGAAGTGATCACTTTAACTCATTGTACCCTTTGCGATGGAGTAAACTCAGCTTATACATGCTGGATTTAAAATACAACTTTGAACAAAACTTATGCTTCAGCTTACCAAAATTTCTCGTTTGTTCTTGTGCCAAGTTAACAACGTTCATACAGTCGCTATCAAAGTTTTTTTTTGAGTATTTGAAAAATTATTAGCCTTTGTCGATTCACTGTTGGATGTCGGCCTCTGAAAGACTGCACTGATTTCTGTCTTCTGCCATTTTATCTACCTTGATCCATCGAAATTCTTCAGTCCATCCAGCTGTCGATATGAAGGTCTTCCTACGGGCTGTTTAATCTCTCTTGGAAGGCCGTCTAATGTGTCTCTGGTCCCTGATGCTCAGTTCTTCTTACAACGTGTCATGTCCATTGTCGGTGTAGCTTCCTCACTTAGGTAATAACATCGCAGAGTCTTGTGCACTCTTGTCCATTCGTTAATCTTCCTATCTCTTTTGCTGTTCCAAGTATGCATTTTCTATGCTGCATTGTGTGGTCTTGAGTTTATGAATGGCTTTCAGACTTAGGTCCATGTTTCACACCCAGAGGTTGGCACTGGGAGTATTCCCGTATCGTAATATAACATTACCAATTAAATAATGGTCTGCGGAAAATAGAAGCAAGGAGTACCCCGATGGTCTGAGGCAATTACCAAGAATGGCAGCTTCCCAGCGGTTAACTGGTATGATTCAACTATTTTTATTTAAAGTCTGTAGTCCCTCGAGTCACGTCCGTTCGTACTTTATTCAGCTTTAATAATTTTATAAAAGTGATTCTCGGCAGATCGAGCATGCATATAGTCAGATACATCAATTTCAGACACCTTGTAATTTGTCTTACATTTTCTGTTCATTAATTGCTTAACTGTTTTGCGTTTTCTGGTACTTCCTAATCACTGATTAAAATCACTGACTGATTATATATATGTGCAATTAATTATATCCTTTGAGCAAGTTCATTCTTTAGATGAAGTCTACAGGCACTACTTCTACTACTACCGACACAGAGTAAAGCCTAATGTGGACATTCGTATTGTGATCGCTGTCACCATCGTCATTATATCCGTGATTCAGGTAGGACTATCTGCCAGGCGGTCGGGTCGGCAGTTTAGATCTTTGGGAGTTACTGAACTCTGCTTTTAATGAAGGTATCATAATCCATGTGAGCTTATGGTGTACGAATGTGATGTATAAATCCATACTATCAGCGAGTGATGTTTCTAAGAATAACGAACTGATAGTAAGCGTCTCAGTAGAGTTAGTTCATGAAATTCAGTTAATTCGGTTGAATTTTCATGATTTGATTCTAGAATCTAAGATAAGATAGGTAGTGCATGAAGTGATAGAATCGCTCGTTGTAATATTAGTTAATTATTGTCATTTAATCAGTATTTAATGATATCAGTGGTAGAAATTGTAATTACATTCTACAGAGTTTCAACAAAGCTACAATTGATCGAACAGTTGAGAGAACATCAATCAGCATGTAATTGGAATTACAACCAGCTTTACAATTTGTTCGAATTTTCAGCTTTTCTAGTATAAAGACATTGCACTATGATTCTGAGTATAACCCACGGAGTTCATCAGCACATCTGCTACATTTCCAGTAGGCACCGTACTTTTTAGAAATTAAAACGGACGGCAATGTAGCCCTTCAGCATTGCCAATACAAGTATCTACAGCAAAAGCAGTAGCTGAGAATCGACAGTGGAAGGCCTATTCCAGGGTTATTTTGAATTTTTAAATTCTTTAGAAAATTGCCTGGCTCGCGGTCAGCCAATTTTATTGATAAGGGACGACGTAGGTCGAGCATACATTAGCTGTTATATGATATTTTTCAATTTCCACGTTTATGCGGGAATTATTTTGACAAAATTATGACATGAGAATGGTTTTATTGACATGACATTGCATAAAGTTTTCCTTTTAGTACTTGAGTTCTTGGCACAAATATACAGAAGCAGTGAATTATTTGATGTCGCAGCCGAAGTACCGATTAAAAGCCATAGAAATTGCAAAAGAAAAAGGACTTTTTTCAGATTTCGAGCGAAAGTCGAAGAAGGGACGAAGTAAAGTAAGTCATTGTTTTGGTTTGGAAGCTGCTTCGCTTAAAGCGATGTAATGTTAAAACCACTCATGCTGAAGCAACCGCCACAAGGCTAGAAATTTAGCCGTGATAATGTTAATCAGAGCAGCGATACTATGGTGTTTTATAATGACTGGAGCAAGATGTCGTGAGCTGTTTAAAAGAAATTTTGCTAAAGAAGGGCTGTATGTCGTTGCCGAACAAAACAGAGCGTAGCTGCCGACCCTGTTTCACTGGTTGACACCCTTGCTAGAAATCTTAACCGTCTTAAATCAAATTGCTCCCTTTTAAAAACTTCTTTTTGGTGTAGTTTTTTGCTTTTTGTAAATACTACTTTAATACTACTTTTAACTGTATGTTTTCACATCTGCATTGATTTTCTCTTTTTGCTCTGATGATTTACGCCGCTGTCGCTGCTTCAGAAATTAGTTTTACAGTCGAATTTTCAACATTTTTCGTT